GCTTTTAGGGAGGGCTTAAAGAGACGGGAGGTAAAACAGCTCCCAGAGAATGAACAAGGCCCAGCATCAGACAAAGAAGGATTATTTTGAACTATCAGTCATGCAAAGCTGTTTGAGAATACAGAGATGGAGCAGATCCATCGTGAAAAGATCCCACTGCTCTTCTGTCACACGTTAAACTCATGGTACAATCTATAATTTATTACACACACACACACACACACACACACACACACACACACACACACACACACACACGCTGGTCTAAGTGGATTACCCGTGCCTGCATGCACACAGGGACAGTGTTTGATGGAAGAAGCTTTGAGCTAAAAATAGAGGACGGTGAAGTTGGCTTTGTGTTTCCTCCCAGTGTCCTTGTCTCATCTCACCATTAAAGAAGGAAAGATGGAGGCTGGCTGCCTTTAATCTGATTGGAGGCTCTGTTCAGCGCTCAGCAAACAGCAGCTAAGCGAGTACCTTCTGCTCCGTGTGCAGCTGAAGTTTTCACTACAGCAGATAAAATGTGGAGAATCATTTTACGTCTGATCTGATTGGTTCAGGGAGGACTCTGGTCTCCTGCAGCTGTTAGAAAGATGACCAAAGGAAAGGTCCAGCACAGAAGTTCTCATTGAGACGTTCTCGAATATCAGCTCTTTGAATCCTTAGCATGAAATCCTGCAGATGTTTTGATGGAGTTTCCATATTAATGGAGTCGAAGGCACAGCTACAGATGCCGGGGAGCCTCTGACACTGTTTCACTCCAACAGTCCAATAATCAGGAGCCTTTAGCTTTAGTTACCTTTAAAGTCCTGAGCCTGAGTAAAGTGACAAGCCTGAGATAACCAATATTATATTTCACGTGTTTGTGGGACATCGTCATTACTCAGCTTCCTGATTAAACCAGGAATCCTCCAGACCTGAAAAAGGAGGAAGCACCAACGCCGATGTTCCCAAAGCCAGTCCCCACTAACCCCCATCTTAAAATATCTAAGCCAGTTTTCAGCCCCTGCAGGTGTTTCTGAGCAGTGATGTCTCTGTTGTGTGTTTAAGTCTGAGCTCCAGGTCTGGGGACATTTATGGTTTTAGCATTTCCTCTGTTTTCTCCTTTTCCTTCTTATCTCCGACTCACTTTCTGCACCACATGAATCCAGAGTTGTTTGCACGTATCGCCCTCCCTCCCTTTCTCGTAAGCAGCCCTCTCTCCTCACGTGCCCTCTCTCCACCCTCTCTCTCTTATGCATCAGCAGGAGGAACAGATCCCAGCAGACGAGAAGAGGCGAGACACCCGAGGCAGACGGAGCAGCAGCAGAAGACAAGCAAAGCATCATGGACGTTTTCAAGAAGGGATTCTCCATGGCGAAGGATGGAGTCGTCGCCGCCGCCGAGAAGACGAAGGCCGGAGTGGAGGAGGCAGCCACCAAGACCAAGGAGGGGGTCATCTACGTTGGTGAGAGGAGATGGATGCAAGTAAAATTAGATTTGTGGTGAAAAGAGGAAGAGAAAGACGAGGAAGCTGCATTTAAATAATTTATCGTTTAAGAAGAAGAGATAAAAGGAGGGACGGGTGGAGCTGAACAATAAAACCTGAGAGAAAGAAAATATGATGAAAAAGTAAAAAACAATCACAGCACTGTGAGGAAAGGAGGAGGCAGGGGGAGGGGCAAAACAGGAAGTTAAACTTTAGTATTTTTAGTGTGAATGAAGGACAGATCAGGGAGACACAATTCATCCTGACGCTGTGCATGAAAGATGAGGGACGAGAGGATGAGAGGGTGAGAGGGTGAGAGGGTGAGGGGGGAAACTTTCCTCTCTCTGCTGGAAATTGAGCGATGGAGGGGCGGAGTGAACGTCAGCACCATCCCTCCATCTTTCCATCTGCAGATTCAACACAGCGTCAGGATGAATCGCACTTTTCTTTTTGTCCGTGTTTCTGTGAATATTTCAGGATTCAGTTTCTGCTCCAACTTTGAATTTCACTCTCTTCTAAAACTACTTTGCACTTGAAATTTCACATTTCCTGGTGGACAACGGGTGAAGCATGGGCGGAGGACGAGTGAAATCCAACACCGAAGGACAAACAGGACGGAGACAGACACACCCACTCCTCCACCTCTCCTCTCCTTGCTGTTCGTCTCTTTCTTGTCCTTCTTCACCCCTTCCTCCTCATCCTCCTCCCATCCCTCATGAAGGGGGACAGACCGAGGGAAGATGAGGGGAGGTGGAGGAAGAGTGGCATCGGTGTTGGGAAGGTTACTTTTAAAATGTATCCCACTACAGATTACAGATTACATGCCCCAAAATGTATTTTGTAACGTATTCTGAATACTTTGGATGACTTAATATATTATCATGCTGTTTACAGCTACATGAATGTGATTTATTACTGAAGGTTACTCTCCACACCAACACCAGCTAGATTTAAATCTGAATATAAATGAGTAACAGTAGGTGGACATTAGGTAAGGCTGCACTTTTTGCAGCGATCTCATATATAAAACAGGTCCGCGGCTCTGAACCGTAGTAAAGGGACCTCTGGCTAATACGTCGGGTTCGTGTCGGCTCGTAGCTGAAAACTACGTGGCGTTGAAAGGCTGCTCCAACAGAGCTTATTGTTTCAGAGGAAAACAGGAACACAGTCGAGTCTTAACAGCTTACTCACAGCTGGGCTTCACTGCCCATCAGGCTGCATGCTTTAGGGCGATGCCTGCAACTCTGCCTGTTGCCTTCATATTAAATCATCTTAAAAATATTTCTTCACGTCATTATGAGACGTGAGATTGAGACACGGACATTTGAGCCTCTTAATGTGTGTTTTGTTTGGGTTTCCACCGACGTGGAAACCAAAAACAGAGAGGGCATAGCCGTGTAATCCCTTTATTTCAACAAAGTAACTGTATCCTGATTGCCACCTTTTAAACGGTAACTGTAACAGTTACTCATATTTAGTATTTTAAATACGTAACAGTGGCACGTGTACTCTGTTACTCCCAACACTGAGTGGCATTTATTAAAAGCAGAACAACAGACTAATGGAAAGAAAGAACTGAGATTTCTTGTGCAGGAAATCGAGGAGGGCTGAGTGGAGGACGTTAAAATCAATGAGGGAGGAAGAGAGCGACAGGAAGCTGAATGCTCAATGATTTAAAGTGCAGCTCTTCCTGATGGATCGCAGCTCCGGTTAGCGTAACGTCAGAACGACGCTGCGACCGGATCCTGATCTGCTGCTGCAGCACGATTTCATCCGTCCACTGATCCGAAGCA